GGGCGGGCCCCGCCGCGCCGAGCGCCCTCTGCAGGTGACCACGCGCCAGGGCCAGCCGGTTACCTCCCCTCCCGGGCGGGGCTCGCTGTTCGGCCCATTGTGCAGACCGAGTTGCTGAGGCGCCCCGGGGTGACCTGACTTGCGCGGGATGACCTAATGAGGAAGGGGCAGGGCGGGAACCAGAAGTCCCGGGCCTGGGTCTTCCTACCGCGCCCCTCGGCCGCTCCTGAGGCACCTACCCGTCCCCAGGGCATTCTTCCCATTGGGCCTCTTCACCTGCTCAGCCTACCTCCTGGCAGAGATCTGAGTCAAGGCCTTGTTGGGTCCTCCCTCTGTACCTGGCGCTCTTCAGACCCCAGACCTCTGTGTGTGGCTTCTGGTCGCTCTGACCAAGAAAGGAGCAAGAATGAGGGCTGAGAGATAGCTCCCACCCCAACCTGCTCTTCTTGTCTAGCACCCAGTCCTGTCCTAGCCCTGGGGCTTCCTGGTCCCCAAAGTCCTCACCCTCATCCCCCTGCTTCCACACAGGGCACACCCAGGGCTCATGTCACCCATGGAAGAGCCATCCACCGCCCACAGCCAGGGCACACCCCACATACAAATATAGATGTGCAATGTGCACTGAACAGAGGTGTGCAATGGGGAAGCCATAGAGAGGCACCTCGGGGAAGGGCTGGGAAGAGGGCTTTGTGATCTCTACTCTCCATCCAGACTGAAGATAGAGTTGATCTTTCATTTATACTTGAATGCGTGTTCATTCACTGAGTTCGTACTGAGCAACCAGAACAAGGCAGGCAGGGACCAGACCATGGCTTCCCTCCAGGTAGCCCGAATGATGGTCCTTCAGAGGCTGACGGAAGCCTTTGGAAAGGTTGGGAGAGGAAGTTACTGACTCTGGCAGAGGAGGTGACATTGAATTGGATCTTAAACAAGTCTGGGAAGGGGGCACCTGGGTGGGTCATTCCAGTAGGCGTCTATCTTCAGCTCACGTCATGATCCCAGTAATGGGATCGAGTCCTGCGATGGGCTCCCTGCTCCTTGGGGAATCTGCTTCTCTGCCTGCCCCTCCCCCACTCTCAATCTCCCTCTCTCTCTCTCTCTCAAATAATAAATAAATAAAATCTTTAGGGGCACCTGGGTGGCTCAGTCAGTTAAGCGTCTGCCTTCGGCTCAGGTCATGATCCCAGGGTCTGGGATCGAGCCCCGCATTGGGCTCCCTACTCAGCAGGGAGTCTGCTTCTCCCTCTCCCTCTGTTGCTCCCCCTGCTTGTGCTCTCTCTCTCTGACAAATAAATACATAAAATCTTTTTTTTAATTAAAAAAATAAAATCTTAAAAAAAAATAAGTCTGGGAAGGGCAGGGCATTTCCAGACAATAGGGAAAATGGCACGTTCTCATTTTAAGAGACGCTCCAAAAGGGGAGTAGAATGGTAGAACAACACTGTGAATGGGGTCTCAGGGGTGACATTTCAGACCTGGGGGTCTTTTAGCCTCACTCCACTTCCCTAGCCACACGAGGCGGACAGGCCCCCGGCTGCAGTTACTGGACGTGGCTCAGAGCAAGCTGTTCCCCTCCCTGCCCCCATGGCTATGACAGCCATGGAGGCTTTATTAATAACATATAATTTGGCCTCTTGCAAACAGAAGTACCATGAGTCACGCTGTGGGCATGTGCTCTGTCGTCTGACCTCAAGATGGGGCACCTGGTCCCCTAGACCCATAGCATGGAGAACAGCCTGAAGCATCCCTGTCCTCCAGCCCCTGGCACAGGCCCTGACACAGAAGGTAGCTGCACGGAAGGAAGTGATCTCTGAGTCCGGGAAGGGCTGGCACTCAGGGAGAGGGGGCACATTTCAAAGCACGCAGGGCCGGGCTGAGGGCATCTGTGCCACACCTCCGAGGGCCGATGGGACCAGGGGGAGAAATCGCAGGTGGCTCACACGGCGGGAGCACAGTATCTGGAGAGCTTGCCCAAGGCACTTTTCCAAGCCTTGGTTTTCTTCTCTGTGAGAGGGGGAAATGATAATACTCATCCTAGAAGCCTCATGGGGTTATTGTCAGAATCCAAAGAGCTTTCTTTGCAAATACATGAGCCACTCTACAGATGTTCTCTGTGCCTGAATGGCCCTTGCTGGCTCCAGAACGGCTGTTCGTCTCCTTTTGCTCCCAGGGGCACTTATAGAAGTGTGAGTTTATAAATGTTTTACTCTTTTAGGGGTATTTACATTTTGAAAGAGAAAGTAAAGAGGAAGAATCTTAAGAAAGACTACTTAGGGCGCCTGGGTGGCTCAGTCGTTAAGCATCTGCCTTCCGCTTGGGTTATGATCTCAGGGTCCTGGAATCAAGCCCCACATTGGACTCCCTGCTCAGCGGGAAGCTTGCTTCTCCCTCTCCCACTCTCCTGTTGGTGTTCCCTCTCTCACTGTGTCTTTCTCTGTCAAATAAATAAAATCTTTAAAAAAAAAAAAAAGACTATTTAGTGGTGGGATTTTGTGTCCATGGACTTTAAGAAGCCATCTGCAGGCATCACTGCAGAGAAAGGGTGGCTCCCGGAATGCCCTCTAAAAGCTAGCTAGAGTTCCAGAAGCTATGACTCTGACTTCTTCCCACTACCACCCTGAAGCCCACATGAGAAGGTCCATCTCCAGGCAGGCACCCCAGCAGTGATAGATGGGACCCTCATCTAGCCTGGGGCACTTAGCACTAGTAGGGTGGATGCCAGTCCCCCCCGTCAGTCCCCAAGCTTCAGGATCAGGAAGGAAGAGGGTGAGACAATGTGCTGTTTCTTGGGTCATCTTGCCACCAGCCTTCAAGGACTTCTGGACAATTGCCTACTCCAAACCTCAGGCTACCAACCCATTTGCCGTCCTGGTAGCCGATGGCTCAGCCCTGCTAAGTATGACCTGGGGGCAAGAGACGAGAGGAAGAAAAAGAAAAAGCTGGGGTAAGCTCAGTGAGGTCCCTGCCATTCTCATCCTAGAGCTTCAGCTCCAGGGTCTTTCCTGCTTCTCACTGCCCTTCATGACCACTGACTATACCCGCCACCATGGGCACAACCAGGGCTCAGTGAATTCTGAAGAGAGAGATGTGTATCACCCGGCAAGAACATACCCATGTGAAAATTGGACAGCCACATGCAGAAGAATGAAACTGGACCATTTCCTTACACCACACACAAAAATAGACTCAAAATGGATGAAAGACCTAAATGTGAGACAGGAATCCATCAAAATCCTAGAGGAGAACACAGGCAGCAACCTCTTTGGCCTCAGCCGCAGCAACTTCTTGCTAGACACGTCTCCAAAGGCAAGGGAAACAAAAGTAAAAATGAACTATTGGGACTTTATCAAGATAAAAAGCTTTTGCAAAGCAAAGGAAACAGTCAACAAAACCAAAAGACAACCGACAGAATGGGAGAAGATATTTGCAAATGACATATCAGATAAAGGGCTAGTATCCAAAATCTATCAAGAACTCATCAAACTCAACACCCAAAGAACAAAGAATCCAATCAAGAAATGGGCAGAAGACATGAACAGACATTTTTCCAAAGAAGACATCCAAATGGCCAACAGACACATGAAAAAGTGCTCAACATTACTTGGCATCAGGGAACTACAAATCAAAGACACAATGAGATACCACCTCAACACCAGTCAGAATGGCTAAAATTAACAAGTCAGGAAACGACAGATGTTGGCGGGGATGCGGAGAAAGGGGAACCCTCCTACACTGTTGGTGGGAATGCAAGCTGGTGCAACCACTCTGGAAAACAGTATGGAGGTTCCTCCCTGCCCCAAACACTCTAAAGCTCACAGATTTCTCTCAAGTGCTCTGAAGACCCATCACAGACCACGGAACCAGGAGCCACAGCCAGACACATTCATGCACTGCATACTGTATAAATATAGGTTTTATTAATAACGGGTGAAGTCCCACAAATACAACTGGCATCTCTGGACGATGGGGAGGATCTGTGGCAGGGTAAGAGAAGGAAGAGTGGTGTGTGCACAGGAATAAGCAGTGGGGAGAGCCCTGGGGGAAGGGGAAATCAGAAGTGGCGTGAGCCTGGACCTACCACAAAAGCCAGACATGCTCTGTGTCTGTCGCTCTGGTGCCCAGACGTATCGGCTGATGGGAAGGTGGGAAGGGTGTGGACAGACCCAGACAGGAGTTTGAATGAGCAGCAAGCGGCTGGGGAAGGGGCAGGGGAGTGAGAATGCCAACTTGACGCACAAAAGAAGGGCCCCGGGGTGGCAGTGGCCAAGGCCAACTTATGCCCATGCTTGTGCTCGTGTTGGCTCCTGAGCTCCGGGGAGCTAATGCCCTGTGCCACCCCTGGCTTGGAGGGGAAAGAAGACTCGGGGGTCGACACCTGCAGATCCCGGGTCCCGGGACACCCTGGGCGGCACCAGCCTCATCCGTGCAGTCAAAGCGGCATCCCCGGAGGAGGTGGGCACTGCCCTTCCCACGGCACCTACCACGGCACCATCACTCCTCCTCGGAGCCGCGGGGGACCGCGTGTGTGTGCCAGGCTGAGGTTGCCTGTTCACATGTATGTGCCTG